GGGGGGGGGTTTGCTTATATTTGGAATGAGGTGAGCGTTGTGGTGGGTTTATACAGTACACAGGGGAGCTTATATTAAGAGGTTTACAGAAAACAAAATCACATTAGAACAAGAATATATACCTTGTGTAATGATGGTGTTTTCCTGAGCAACTACTTTATGCAAACTAGAAAGCATTCTTCATTCCCATGGTTAGTCTTAGTACTGTTGGATGTGGTTTGACATATTCTTGCATCCCAACTTGGCACATTCAATAAAATCCGATGATGCTGATAGGTTATCTTCCTTTGGGGTTTCCAACACTGTCAAGACTGTGGCGATGTGGATTGAATATTGTCTCTGGTGCTGCATCTGTTGTGACTTAACAATCTTCCAAATTTGGAACAAACAGAATCAGTTGATCAATGCTCATAGTTTGCAAATGAACGAGTTAAAGTTTAGTCATCACTGTGGTTTTGTCACTGTTGTGCACTGATTATTGTTTCTAGTGCGACTTGACATCCCATTGTGAGAATATCAATTTCTTCCAAATTTGGCACAAACACAATCTGGCAATAAATTCTGATGGTTAGCAAGGGAATCGAGTTAAGGTCTATATATAATGCTGATGTTCTGCATTTGTTCTTTGTCATTTTTACTTCCGACTGCTTGGCGCCCTTCGAGTCCTTTCTCTACTGCTTGCCTTCAAACTGATCAGTCTTGAGACAGCTGGCAATCTAAGAAGAGTTGGATTGTGTAATGTTAGCATAGATATCTTATATACACTAGATAGCGCATCTCTTTTAGTAAAATTGAAGCCAAGAATATTCCAGCGGTTACCCCCATTTGAATAGATGGTGGCCATGTTGGTCGTTCCCACTTGCTAATAAACGCTTGAAAACAACAATAACTTTCATCATTTGAATACTTTAAAAACATATTTGGAATAGGTTTAACTTAATATTTAAGTTCCCTGTTTAATTAAGAAATAGAAAACATGCAAATCTCCTCATTTCATGGGAATGACCTGAGACTGCAATCACAGCTTCAATTTTTGAATTGCAGAATAATTAGATGCACTATCTAGTGTATATAAGATATCTATGAATGTTAGTTATAAAATATTTCCACATCAATGACGGTCTCTCGATCCAGATTACATGCTTCGATTTGCATGTCAAATATTTTAATATATTGAAATATCATCTTGATAAATTTCGATAAATTCTTGCAAATTTCATAGTTTATACCGTTTTTATTTACAACTACTGTTTAAGATATTGTCTTTTATTATATAAAGTATAGTGCTTTATAGAGATTTCAAGCACTGATAAAAGTGATAATCTCACATGTGAGATTATTCATGATAATCTCACATGGTGAAAATTATCGCTTTTCAAAGAGTGTCCTTTATATAATAAACAGAAAAATACATGGGTGCTTGGAAATACCAGATTTATTTCTCATGTTGAACATGATATCTTACTCGTTTGCTGCGCTCACTCGTGAGATATCAATGTCCAACACTCGAAATAAATCTGGTATTTCCGCACACCCGTATATTATTCTCTATACAGGGTGTCCCAAAAACCCCGAAAAACCATTGAAATAACGGATTGTTAAAATTTGAATGCCCTAGCACTAAGCTGAACGCAAAGATGAGTAAAATATTGACAGGGGTGCATATGGGCGGCCGTTACCACCAAAAATATTACACATGTGAAGTGAATGGACATAAACAGAAACCATTCATTACAAACACGAACGAGTCATCATGTTTAGAAATGCTTGAACCTAAGGCCACATAAAAAAATTACTTGTTTAGCGTCCACCCATTTTAATTTTTCTAAGTTGGGCAGGCGGGGGGTTTTTCTCGTAAAATGCAATACAAAATGCAGGAAATCCAGTATATCACCACAGTCAAAACTCACTTTAATTCTTTCAAAATCCGTTCATGTTTTTAATACAGTTCATGTTTTTAATAAAACAGAAAATTACCATTTGGCGGTCATGCGCGAACACTTTAGCAGCGAACAGGCATATTCTGGGAAGGAAACTTTGTGTAAACGTATTACATAGGTCCAAGAAGAATAAAATCACCATTTTTTCAAGTAAAACAGTCTTTTTTATAGAGAGTTTTTGCACTAAACTCGGATGGATTTGAAAAAAAAAAATGGAGGTCGGGGACTTTTATCAGGTCGGGCGGGGACGCTAAACAAGTAATATTTTTTATGTGGCCTAATGTAGTGATATGACTGGACAAGACCATAAATGATTTGTTTAAAATTGAAACGATTCACTTGATTGTGTATTCATTCGTCTATTATTGCGCTGATTCATATAGTTCAAGTGAAATGGCTTGGCATATTTTGCAATGACTTAGCAGGTCGTATACAAGTGACACGTTTGGTTGGCAAATAATTCATGCTTTTTTAGAACTATCCGCTGTTTTAAAATAGCTCAACTAAATACGAAATGATTCAACTAGATGGGACGTGATTCAACCTTATGTGAAATATATAAACTAAATGTGAACGACTCAATGCAATGTGAAATCACTCAATTAAATGCGACATCGTTCAACTAGATGTGACATGATTCAATACCATGTGAAATCACTCAACTAAATGTGAAATCATTCAACTAAATGTGAAATGATTCGCGTCCACGTGAACTGACACAACATGTTTTGAACTGACGTAATTTGTGCGGTCTTGGCACGTCTTGTTGTGAAGTGATTCATCAAGTTGTGAAGTGATTGATTAAATTTCCTTTGAAGAAAATTTACGGAAATCACAATGAAATTTGTCGTAATAAAATTTACATATGGAAATTCACCGCCCGAAATAAAAAATAACTATCGATCAAAGTCTTTTCCTTGACTCGCAATTCAACGTTATATCGCAAGATTTCCCAAGTTTTTGTGTGCGTTCTATTGGAAAAAAATTTCTCCTCGAAGATCTCACTAAAAAATATGTGTTTAAAGATTTATAATCTGTTTTTAATTAACCTATATTCCCCCGATATTTTCTGTGTTGTTGTAATGTACTCAGGTGAATATGATGCCTTTGATGTTACTCTGAGTGTATGTCCACACCGGGCAAGCTTGAAAATATGCCTGACCATGGTGGGAATCGAACCTACGACCTTTGGAATTCCAGATCAATGCTCTGCCAACTGAGCTACGCGGTCAGGTCGAGTATGTGATATTTCAGAACGGAATCTAGTTCCTTCGATATCAATGTAATCTACTAATCCTGATTTTTTTCTGTGTTGGTGTAATGTACTCAGGTGAATATGATGCTTGTGATGTTACTCTTGTAGTGTATATCCACAACGGGCAGGCTTGAAAAACACGGTTGGAATCAAACCTAATTGAACCGCATAGCTCAGTTGGCAGAGCATTGGACTAGTATTCCAAAGGTCATAGGTTCAATTCCCACCGTGGTCAGGCATATTTTTGAAGCTTGCCCGGTGTGGATATACACTCAGAGTAACATCACAGGCATCATATTCACCTGACTACATTACAACAACACAGAAAATATCGAGGGAATATAGGTTAAAAACAGATTATAAATCTTTAAACACATATCTTTTATATAGTGAGATCTTCGAGGAGAAATATTTTTTCCAGCAAAATGCCTACAAAAGCTTGGGAAATGTCGCGATATAAAATTGCTATTTGTGAACGTTGAATTGCGAGTCAAGGAAAGGACTTTGATCGATAGTTAATTTTCATTTCGCGTGGGCGGTGAATTTCCATATGTAAATTTTATTCTGACAAATTTCATTGTGATTTCCGTAAATTTTCTTCGAAGAAAGTTTAATCAACAAGATGGAAGCATCTTGTTGATTCACTTCACAACTTAAAATAATCACTTCACAACAAGACGTGCCAAGACCGCACAAATTACGTCAGTTCAAAACATGTCGTGTCAGTTCACATGGATGCGAATCATTTCACATTTAGTTGAATCATTTCACATCTTGTTGAATCATTTCACATTTAGTTGAATCATTTCACATCTTGTTGAATCATTTCACATTTAGTTACATGATTTCATATTTAGTTGAGTGATTTCACATTTAGTTGAGTGATTTCACATGGTATTGAATCGTGTCACATCTAGTTGAACGATGTCGCATTTAATTGAGTGATTTCACATTGCATTGAGTCGTTTCACATTTAGTTTATTTATTTCACATAAGGTTGAATCACGTCCCATCTAGTTGAATCATTTCGTATTTAGTGGAGCTATTTTAAAACACAGCGGATGGTTCTAAAAAAGCATGAATTATTTGCCAACCGAACGTGTCACTTGTATACGACCTGCTAAGTCATTGCAAAATATGCCAAGCCATTTCACTTGAACTATATAAATCAGCGCAATAATAGACGAATGAATACACAATCAAGTGAATTGTTTCAATTTTAAACAAATCATTTCTGTTCTTGTCCAGTCATATCACTACGTTAGCTTCAAGAATTTTTAAACATGATGACTTGTTCGCGTTTGTAATGAATAATTTCTGTTTATGTCCATTCATTTCACACGTGTGGTATTCTTGGTGGTAACGGCCGCCCATAGGTGCATATATTAAATATTGACTTATTAAGAAATTAAAATATCTTTGTAAAGCTCACGATTTTCTGCTCTTGGTAATTTAAAACATCTTAAACGGTCTCTTTATGCACAAAATTTACTTACGACAAGCTTTTATGCACATTTGGGTTCAGCAGAGTGTACCCTGGTTCCAGAGGTTTAATTTTATTATTTGCATTGCAAAGGGGAGAGGAAAAATAAACCTCTGGTTGAAAGTGGCAATTGATTCATCGAGCAGCGCCAATCAGTTTGAATTAGGGTCAGATCCCGACTCTGTCTCCTGATTGGATGATTGTATTAAAGCTCTCCGATTCATTCAAATAAAACATCTATAACAAATCAGAGAGCTTTAATAAAATCATCCAATCAGGAGACAGAGTCAGGGTCTGACCCTAATTCAAACTGATTGGTGCGGCTCGATTAATCAATTGCCGCTTTCAACTAGAGGTTTATTTTAAACCTCTGGAACCAGGGTAAGCAGAGTGCTGGAGGCATTCAAATTCTAACAATACATTCATTTCAATAGTTTTCGTTTTTTGGACACCCTGTATAATATATATAATAACAATTTGCCGGAAAAAGGAATTTGTAATTAATTCCTTTTTTCCGCTGTAACTTTTCCATTGCACTTAATTACATTTTAGAACAAGTAATTGTAATCAGAAATTTATTATATTTTAAAACAAGTAATTGTAATTGGAATTATTTCCTTTTTCAGTGGTAATTTTGCAGCCCTGCTGCATGGGACCTTTTATATAAGAGTCACGTTTGTACCTTAGGGACCGGTCGTAAAGTATTTACTAGGGGGTGTGGAGGATATTTTTTGGGGGTACGGAAAAAAGAAGAGATCCTCTTAGGGGGAATGAAAAAAACAACAGAACCTCTAGGGGGTACCAAAATCTTAGTACTATAGGTACGGAAAAATATTACATTTTATAACTATTGTTGAATATTGAATGTATTTGTGCCCAGATTTAATTATTATTGTTGAATATTAAATGTATTTGTGCCCAGATTTTTTCTATAATTATTAAATCATCACAAGGTACATATATGTTTTAGTCTGACTCAAATATGTCAGATGATAAGTAGGATTCAGTATCCGTTGAACTTTTGGAGTACAAATCTGATACACCTGAATTGTCAACGCTAACAAGCTCTGACGGCCTAATTCCACGACAAGCGAAATGCGAAAAATTTCGCGCAAAGAGATTGAACGCATGCGCAACATGATTTTGGAATGTTTCTCAGCGAAATACTTCTCTTCGCCAGGTTGTTGAATTGGTTTCTACTCTGTTGCGAAATAGAAATAGCGAAACCAATCAAATGCTTGTGTTATGGATGACAAAATAGCAAAAGCAATCAAATGCTTGTGTTTTGGCGAATTTTTTCTCTACTGCGGAAATCACTAAGAGAGAAAATTTTCGCACAAGTGTGTTTTTGTGCAAAATATTTCGAATTTTGTTAGTCGTGGAGAATTAGGCCTTGACACCAGCATTAGAACTTGATGAACCTGATGAGAAAGTGTCACATTGAATGGAAGCAAAAGTTTTCTATTTGAAATAAACCCCAAACAAATTTTTCTGTTTGATCTTACCCTCAGCCCATCGCTAGTATGTCAGAATCAGAAAAAACTGGTGATGAATCTGAGACTGCGGAAAATGTTGAGGATATGGTTACCACTATAAGAAGTGGGGGAGTTATCACAAACTGGAGAGTTTCGAAATATATAGATAAACGCAATTTGAAATAGGGCCCGACACAAAACCTGTCTTATTTTTAGACACAACATGCAATATGATTGACAAGTGTTGTAGATTTCCTTACACAAAAAATTTATATTCTCATGATTCATGAACATGTCCGCAGAGTGTGCATTTTGCTTTTTAATTAAACTTAAAAATTCAAGGTACTTTTATATAATTAAGAGTCAGTTTCTCTATTTAACCGAACAGCAAACAAAGATTTAATTAGTCAGTTCTGTGCACGGCTTGACTGCCAAGGCCCAAGCTTTCTCAAGGTCTCAACTTGCTGGATGCAGATATACTCTATTGACTAATGGGCTAACAACAGCAACAATGAAATTCTCAATCGTACCACAAAGAAGGCAATGTAGCTCAGAAAATGACGCCGGTAGGACCTGATATTAAAAATAAGACTTTTGCCGGCGAAGCCAATTGGCACAACATCTCGTCTGTCAACATATAAGCCAGGGTACGAATTAACGGCTCGCATTTTGCAATTTGCGAAGCATCTGTACATTTTTGCGAAGCGAAATTGCTTGGCAAACAGGAAAATGCGAAGTGAAAATTTTGAAAATATATTGCATAAACATAACAAACATGAATGTGAGAGAGCCGAACGCGCCGTTTTTGCTTTTAGTTTGTTTGTCTGCTGTTTATATTGTTTTGACAAGGCTTTGATTTTTGTTTTGTAGTCAGGCTGCAGTCATACAATCCCAATTTATGCCGTAATCAATCACAGTTAATATTAAGGGCGGCTAAATACTACAAACCGGATGTTTACTTTACGCCTAAAAGTAAAATGGTTTGCAGTTTGTCAAAATGCCAGTAATTGGTGCACGGGCGTAGCCTAGGAATGTAATCGCATTTCTGAATGTTTTGACAGTTCACATGAAAACACGACACATATATTTCGGCCTTTCGATCTTATTCATTCAATTGTTTCCTATTGTAAGTAATATTTAAATCAGTTTAGATTTTACTTAGACTTCCTTCGGTACACGCAGATATGAGAAACGTTTACATAAAGGTTAAACAGGGTTTTTTTGTGAACATTGGTGGCCTTGTTGCTAGTAATTATTTTTGAAAATTATTTGTGAACAAACAAATTAAGTGTTGCTTGTTGCTTAATTTATAACTAACATTTTTAACAAAACGACCTGTCTTGCATTTTAATATGCTAGCTGAATATAGTAATATTACACCAGTACAGCAAGACACTGCAGAGTACAACAAAAAGTTTGTTGTCTCAAGCGGGATTCGAACTCGTTCGAGACAATGAATTTCAGAATTTCGTTGTACTCTGCAATGTCAGAATAATATGTAACTAGTTTTTCATACGGTATTTCTGAGGATGGTTTTGAAATAGGCAGTATTTATTTACCAAAATTTTTGCGAAGCTGTTTTGACACCTTAATTCGTACCCTGTAAGCTTTCGAATACATGACTAGTTTGGCTGTTCTTTCAGCATCGTGTGTCCAAAATTCGTCAAAGATTTTGATGAAGCACTTTCAAAATACTGTTTGTTTGATTTATTTTCTGCCATAAAGCATTTAAAGAAAAAGAAATTCGAAGAAATTGATAATGGAATTTGTTACGTGCATTTGACCGAGCTATTTTTAAAACTGTTGTTTATGTGAACTTGCAACCAATCAAAATCCTTCATGATGCTGATCAACCAATCAGATTTCCCGTCCACCAGGTGGACGGGAATCCCACAGTTTAGATAGGTTTTGTGTCAGGCCCTATTCTGTGATTAGGGCCTGAACTTCAGGTTAGTTTTTGGTAGGGATGATCCAATTAATCGGTAAATAATCGGCAAAGCCGATTAATCAGCCGCTTTTTTAAATAATCGGTAATCGGCCGATTATTGCCTGATAATCGGCCATAAGACTTTTTCTGCAGCTGCCAATCACATGCTAAAATACTGAATACAAGCGAATAGATTTTTACATTTTGTTGCAAAACCTGTGCCTTTTGTCTCAAGTGAAATGAAGCTGGGAACATTTCTACTAAAAAAACGCAGCAGACTAGCTCCGCTGAAGCTGACAATGTCGTGTTTTTACACCATAATCTGCCAAAACTAAAGTTTGACTATTGACATGCGAGACTGAAGCTGTTTTTAATTGTACAAAGTGTGTATTGTAAACAATAAAACCGCATTTACAACTTCATTGTTGGTCATCTTGTGATTTTTCGCTTGCTTTTTAAAATAATCGGTGGGTACCGATTAATCGGCACATTAGTTACAATAATCGGCTTATAAATAATCGGCCTCAGTAATCAGCAATTTTCCTTATCGGCTCATCCCTAGTTTTTGGGAGGGTATGGAAATATGTACTTGAAATTTAATTTATCCTCCCACCCCCTCTAGCACATGTAATTACTTTATGACCGGTCCCAGGATTTTCGCCCCCCCCCTACATTTTCGCCCCCCGGGGGGCGAAATTCCTAGGAATATCGCCCCCCCAGGGGGCGAAAATCCTAGGAATTTCGCCCCCCTTTAGGAAATTCGCCCCCCTTCAGAAACTTCACCTTTTCTTTAGGATTTTCGTCCCTCCGTTCAAAGTTTCGCCCTTCCTAATAGTTGCATCGGATAATTATTACATGGCTTTAATCATTTGAAATCAGTATCAATTCAAAATTGTTAAGGCAGAGCTTGAAATAACAACCGATCACCGATCAATGATCGGCAAGGAATTGCTTATAATCGGCGGAAAAGCAGGGTTTCGGTTTGAAAAAAGCAGGGAAAGTTATGACTGCCGATCACCATGATCGGGAACTTTGGGAACGTTATTTCAAGCCCTTACAATTACATGTATCGAAAGGGCTTACACAGTTACAGTAGATCAATAGAACTTATGACGCTTCACAGCACACCATGCGTATTTTGCATTTTCACTGTTAATCCTTAAACTCATTGTTAAAAAGTAATCACCGTGGTGGTTATTGTAATTATTGGTATTGATTTGCATCCACGTTTTGTCGTTATTGGAAAATGTGTGGCTTATAAGTTGTCACTATTTTTTACTTGCATTATTTCAATATGGTTTGTAAATCTCAGAAGCGAAGGGTAGAACTTGTCAATAGGCAATACTCCAATAATATACGTTTCAAAGTTTTAGTTTTGCAGAGTTACATTCTTAAATGTTTGAGGCACTAATAAAATCAAAGTATCATGAAATTATTTGAATAAGTCACACCACATATATAATGCAATTATTTTCTTCGCGGAAGTCAAGAATCAAGATTACATCACTAACACTGTCACTGACATGGAAAGTTGATGATTCTACGGACAATGATCAATACACTTCCCAACACATTCCATAGATTTTTTATTAATCCTATAGTTTATTGTTAGCAAGTGATCACTGTGGCGGCTATTGTTAACACTGGTATTGATAAAATTTGCAAGCGATTGTTTTTCATAATACGTTATGTGAATGTAAACTGTCAAAAGAATACGACAACATGATTTTATGCGATCTCTGTGGGCAATGGTTCCACTTTAAATGTGTAGAACATGACACCAGTGCTAAGAAGCCTAAAATGTATATGTAAGTTTGTCTCCTTGTAATATATAAATAACGCAATAAATCTTTTCAACTTGCAATCGTTTTGTTTTTAGATCAAAAATTCAAAATTTATAGGGGGGGCGAAATTCCTAAAGGGGGGCGATATTCCTAGGAGATTCGCCCCCCTGGGGGCGATATTCCTAGGAGATTCGCCCCGGGGGGCGAATATCCTAGGAATATCGCCCCCCTTTTGAGAGGGGGGCGAATCTCCTGGGGGGCGAATCTCCTGTGACACCGGCATTTTCACAGTTTGATTATCATGTCGATAGATAAAAGCTTTAAAAATTCAATTGAAAACATTTTAAACCACCCGTATTTCTATTAAATATATGTTAGTGGTATTAACATTGAACGTCTTTCTGTTTGAACCCAAATTCGTACTTGTTTTGCTTTTGACAAGGCAGTCAAGCTTGCGACGATTGCCAGGCATGACTGCAGAATTAATAGCGTGTCAAATGTCTTCTTGTTTGTGTCAAGTTTATAATATTCTACTGCTGTTCAAACACAAACGAGATATTCTATACACTGGAAACGTAGAGTACATTTTACTTTGTCTCGAGCAAAAAATTATAAAGATTAAACAGGCATTCAAAAATATACAACAACCACGAACATCTCGTTATTTCTTCGGGGAAATCTTCAAGTTTCAATGGAAATCTGGCGCATGCGCAACAAATTTCCCAGCTGCTGGATTTTACTACATCCCGGGCGTTCTTTGTCAGTGTCCGCGATCACGCCTAGTATTATCAGCGGTACATGATGATAACATTGAATGTTTCCTGAAATCATGATGTTTGAAAGAAAACATCTTATTTTTCTGCCTTTTTTAACTCTTAAAGGGCGGTTAGGGTTTGGGATCGGTATAAAATCTAAAGTGCTTTAAAAAAGTTTTAATAATCTGTTTTATCACTTTTATGACTTTTACCTGTTTGAATATTGAGTTGCGAACACAACCGCTGATAATGCTATTTGTGATCGCGAGCACTGACAAAGAACGCCCGGGATGTAGTAAAATCCGAACAAATTTCGGCGGCCATATTTCTTTTTTTCCACTTTGAATACAGAATATTCCATTTTCATCACACAAAATAAAAAAATAATAATTATAAAACAATTAAAAACAGTTAATTTATTTTTTTTATTTAAATCTTCGTCTGAAATTTGTTCAAATCGCTTCATAATGGCCACCGCCAAAACATCGATCTCGAACGCACCTCCTAAACATACGTCAGCAGGTGGGTTCGAGATTTTATCCCATACCTGTGTTAAAAGCGGCTTTCTGATTGGTTTAGAGCAGGTGAGCTTGTCGTCGATCGCGAGCTCACCTGCTTTTTGCCGAACTCACCTGCTTTTCGCCCGAACTCACCCGCTAAACTGCTTACGTTGCAATAACAATAACAAATATGGCGGACAAGATTTAGCCGATAAACCTAAACTTTAAAGAACTTTTTTCGGTGACTAACATACTGAGACTGAAGAAAAACCGAAGAAAAAATGCAGTAAAGGTAATGTAGACGTAGATAAAGAAGTATTTTCTTGCCCAGTGATTTTTTTGGCCGGGAAAATGTTCACAAAACATCGACGAATATATCGCGAAGAGCTACAAATGTGTGTATGGCTCGGTGTATGGGATAAAAACCAAACGTACTTGCAGGTTCGGGGAGTCCGGGATTGGACGCACCTCGGGTGGCTGGAAGTTTCCCGAACTCACCTCGCTTCGCTCGGTAAGTTCGGGAAACTTCCAGCCACCCTCGGTGCGTCAAATCCCGGACTCACCTCCCTGCAAGTACGTTTGTTATATTATCCCATACTCTGTTAAAAGCGGCTTTCTGATTGGTTTAGAGCAGGTGAGCTTGTCGTCAAGCTCACCTGCTTTTTGCCGAACTCACCTGCTTTTCGCCCGAGTATGGCACGCCGATTGTTGCAATATTCAATGTAATATATTTGTTCAATTTAATCGCAATATTCATTCAATTTAATTGTCATATTTTCATTCAATTTAATATTTTTATATTTATTCAATTTAATATTAAAATATTCATTCAATTTAATTGTCATATTTTCATTCAATTTAATATTTTTTATATTTATTCAATTTAATATTAAAATATTCATTCAATTTAATTGTCATATTTTCATTCAATTTAATATTTTTTATATTTATTCAATTTAATATTAAAATATTCATTCAATTTAATTGTCATATTTTCATTCAATTTAATATTTTTTATATTTATTCAATTTAATATTAAAATATTCATTCAATTTAATTGTCATATTTTCATTCAATTTAATATTTTTTATATATTAAAATATTCATTCAATTTAATTGTCATATTTTCATTCAATTTAATATTAAAATATTCATTCAATTTAATATTAAAATATTCATTCAATTTAATTGTCATATTTTCATTCAATTTAATATTAAAATATTCATTCAATTTAATATTAAAATATTCATTCAATTTAATATTAAAATATTCATTCAATTTAATTGTCATATTTTCATTCAATTTAATTTTTTTATATTTATTCAATTTAATATTAAAATATTCATTCAATTTAATTGTCATATTTTCATTCAATTTAATATTAAAATATTCATTCAATTTAATATTAAAATATTCATTCAATTTAATATTAAAATATTCATTCAATTTAATTGTCATATTTTCATTCAATTTAATATTAAAATATTCATTCAATTTAATATTAAAATATTCATTCAATTTAATAAATATTTATTCAATTTTAAACTTTAACATATTTATTCAATTTAATGTTTGTATATGCATTCAATTTAATTTCAATATCCATTCAATAAATCCTAAATTCATTCAATCTTTTCTTGCCGTAAGGAACCTGGGTACGAGGTTGACCATATATGTCAATTTCCCGCGCTTTTGCATCCCGCCATGTTTGGTTCGCGTATGCGAATGTTTTAGAGCGACAACAGTGTGTTCAAGGTATTTTAAAACAGATTTAACGATGGACAAAAGAATATCAGATGCGGCAGAACTGCTGCGACAGGCTTCGAGTATGTTACTGTCAGTAGATCCAGGAACTTCTTCATCTCCAGCATTAGTGCGAAGCCCAGAGGCAGAGTCTGAACGTCCGACAGTAAGACCACAGGGAAGATCAGTAAACGAGACCCTCGCAAGAGCAAGGAGTATGATGCAAAGCAGTAGAACCACTGGAGTGTTTAGGCGGCTTAGCAGCAGCGAAAGATTGAGAGCAACTTCAGGACCAAAGGAAAAGAAAAGCAAAACGGCTTCTTCGACTGGTAGTAAAGATAAACCTTTCGAATTTGCCCTGCTTGCTTGTGGAGATGTCGACAGTGATGAACCAGATGACAGCTTGAAGAAGGACATGATTCTGGATCGAGGTATTGTGAGTCTTAATGAAAAAGATAACGAAGCTGCTATTCGAGAAAAACTTGTTTCATCGCTTAAAGGCAAGTATGGCATGATTGGTCAAAATGATTTTGAATTTATAAAAGTAAATCAGAAAAAAATCTCGGTTCTACATTTAAGTAAAGGAACAGAGTATAATTACGACGTTGTCAAGAAACTTGTAGGACAAGGGCTTTTGTACGTTAGAATTAGAAGGGGATATGAATTTGTAATTGAACAAACTTCAGATTCTGGATCAGACTTTGTAATGACATATCCTGCTGCTGAGAATGATGCTAAAACTGAAGCACATCTTTCAGAAGACGAGAACATGCCCCAGTCAGGACTAGCAGATGAATTACCTGTGGCTGCACAGCCACCCATCTCAGTAGATCTATCTCAGCAGCCTGGTTCAAGCACAAATGTAGAAAGTCCTCACACGTTCTTTGACACGGTTGTAAACGAGTTTCCATCAAATATAACTGAACCAACAGAAATCCTTAGATATCTACAAATGAAAATTGTTAGAGGTAGACCATTGGAGGTAACTGATCCTTCCACAGACCTTCAAGGAGAAACAAACTTCATAACTGTAGACAGAGAGAACATTCTTCAAACTACTTTTGAGGAACTAAAGTCTGTTGATGATCCCAGAGTCACATTCGAGGTCCAGTTTTATGCGGAACAAGCTGTTGACAGTGGTGGTCCACGTAGAGAGTGGATGCGACTTTGCAATCAACAAATCAAGATCAAGTATTTTGATAATGGTATCAAAGAGCATTTGTCGGAAGATTACTTCTATGTTGGACAAATGATTAGCATTGCTCTTCTACAAAATGGCCAGTTGCCTGTCTACATCCCTGAAGATATTTTGCAGGCCATATTTGTGGGGAAATGTGAGCAGTTGTCTCCTTGCATCATGGAGCTAAAGCGTGGTATGGATACATTGGGGATTCCAGCATTTGGAAGAAAATTTCCCCAGTTGTTGTACCTTCTCAGGCCATCAGCCATTGCCAAGTTATCAGTTCGCAGGCTTCTATTCCTGCTGAAACCAGCATTTTCTGAGGAAGGGTCCAACGCTCTGTCTCGTGAGAAAGCTGTGTATACAAAATTTGTAAAATACACAAGGGAGGTGTCCAGTGGCCGAAGGGTTGTTACTCTGGAAAACATTCTAGAATTTGCCACTGGAGCTAGTGAAGAACCACCCCTTGGTTTTACAAGATCCCCCAACATCCAGTTCATAGAAGTTGACAACAAAGAGTTGACTACAACAGAAAATGAGGTAAGCATTTTATTATTTGTATTTTCACCATTTAGTTGTCATATTGTTATACTAAATTGCTATTTTACAATTAACCAAATATTCACCGAAGGCGAGGTGATTACAAGCCTATATTCACTGAGCTGCGAAGTGAATATAGTCTTGTGATCACCAAGCCTGAGGTGACTAATTGTTTTAGTATAAATTCAGTATTGAAACATAATAATATATACAAACGTTTATAAATAAGATTTACTTCACCTTTAATTTCTTCAATTCTTTCTTCCATGATTTGTTTGCAAACTGTGGATTTTCGACAGCCATTTTGTTTTGAAAGCAATAGTTTACTGCTCAGAGCAGTCTGAGCAGCAATCAGAATGCTTGAAAGCCATTTTTCAATACTGAATTTATACTAATAACATTTAGCATTTCCCAATCAAGCAGGGTACTGATTCAAATTGATATTACAAAGCATCCATGTATTGTTGGGAAGGATGATCACAGATCATTTACATTGCTGTATTTTCAAACATACTGTACCATAGAGGTAAAATGCTTTGCAGTCTCAATTGCACCCAGGATCCTTTAATCAATCTCAATACATTACATTGTTAGTAAAATAATCTAATGTATTAGAGGCAAATTCAAGATTCCCTACTATAGGATTCCCTGCTCAATTGGAAAAATTCTGATACCATAGAGACACAAGGTCATATGAATATTATAGGAAGATTTCTTGGCAGGTACAACAGGCTTGTATATGGCAGAGAAGGGCTCATGATCTGATGTTTTTTTCTGTATTCAACAAACTAATATATCTAATTAACCAGGAAGAATAGTTGGGGATAATGTGTGGATTCTACAGTAGGTCTCCAAGGTAGTCCCAAACTTGCAAGTAGAAACATGGCTTTAATTAACAGCTTTTGATCCTATATAGACCTTTAACACTCACATTTGAATTTATGGTTTAAAGAATATATGAATGTTCTTTGCTTTATAGAGCAACCAAGTGTCAGGAGAAGTACAGCTACTTAATGAAAAGAAGAAAATGTGGTATTTCACACCAACAGCCCATACATGTCCAAACACATTGCAATTGCCAACAGAAAGCATGGTTCTTCCTCTTCCCTCTGAAGAAGACCTGTTCCAATTGTATGATATGGCATTCAAGAACACTCACTTTGGTATTAGATAGAGCTGAAAAACAAAGCATTCAATATGTTTTTCAAGTTTAGGAGAAAATACTAATCATCTTTATTAGCAATGATATTGGAGTTATCTCTATTCATAACAAAAACATGTTTCAGTTTTTAAGAAACAGGGGAACAAAGACCAGTACAGTAGTGTTACGGTAGCTTGCATGTGATGGGATAATGATAGTCTTTACGACATGTTGTGTTACTTTAAATTGTTTTTGTTAGAAAGTTCATTTAGTACTGTGATTGTTAATTTTACTAAATGTTCAAATTTCTTCGCTTGAATGTTCCAAAACACAATTTTGAAGTTTTCCTGAACATGTTTAACTTTATCTGGGATAATATGTTAAATCCACACACACACACATTCCCCTCGCCCTTTGTCACACTCAAACTTTAGTTTGGTGTAAAGAGGACATATTGTATCAATGCGAGGCTTGATGGTGAAGACAGTGCAAGGGAAAACCCACACTGGTCATACAGTGTTACTGTAGGCAAATTTTCTCCAACTGGAGCAGGCACACTTTTTATTGGACTTCTAATTAAATATTTCAAGGTCTGTATGTTACCCAGTGCTGGTAATTTTGTATCTAAACTCCGCTGACAAATTAAGCCTGCAGAAGTGGGAGAAAATTTGCTAAAAATGACCATTGGGCACCATTAGGCAGCGTCGCAAATATTTAGACATAAAAGTATATGCTATTTACTCAATTTTACACCACCTTCCTTTGTAATACTGTAATTCATGTTATAACCAAATTCTCTTAAGTTTGGTTTCCATTAAATCGCAATAGTCGCGGAACGCAGACATCGTTATCGCAAAAATCAATCTTTGCGCCTTTGTCATATAAGAGTCTTACAGTAGTTAGGAAAAAAAATGTGGGTTTCCGGTTTCCCGACTCTACCTAGCTTTTGGACGTCGAAATCCCGACCCTAAATTTTTTTATTGGATCATGCTTGTAAGTGTTTCCACTTAGAGGAAAAAGTTTGTGGAAAATTGAAATTTGAGGCAATATTAGGGAAATTTATCTTTAGATGTGGAAGCACTAACTAAGCAAAATGGTGTCCGCTTGTTCGGAAAATTAAAAAAAAAGTTTAAAAAAAAAAGTTAAAACCGACCTACCCTACCTAAGTTTTTATAAGAAGAAACCGGAAACCCACATATTTTTTTTTGGCCTTATCGGCGTAACTCAAGTTTCCAATAAATCGCAGTTTTTATTAAAAATTTCGCGTTTTTAAAATCGTTGCGATGCGGTTCTTGTGATAATTACGATTTAATCAAAAAATTAAATAAATAATAAATAAATTAAATGGAAACCAGGCTTTAGTGAGAAAAGCTCAAAAACAATTAGATGTGAGTCAGTATCTTCTCATGTATCAAAATATATGTATAAGAGTTGACTCTGTATAAGAGTTTGTTATTTCATCAATCTTTAGTACTACCAGTTCTAAGGCTTCAGTATAAATGTCTACCCCCATTTCATGAGATTGTTGCAACGGATCGATTGTTTCAAGAATAAATGATGTTAGCAAGTTATCATGCGGCAGGTGGACTGCTTCAACAATTACATTGTTGTCACTTCCAACTGAAGATGGTCCATGGGGGTCATGTCCATACATTTCCAAATCATATGGCTCTTCATCTAGCTCTGCATGTGCCAGTGGATTATCAGGATGAAACATTCCATTTATCCACATTTGGTTTGGGGAACAGTTTCTTTCTGTGCGTACCTTGTGGTGGTTGAATGCTTCTCTAAACTCATCAAGGGCCTTGTTGATCCTGGGAATAAAAATTAAGTGCAGCGTGAAAAGATGAACAGGATTATTTGCGTCAAGGATACCAGTAGACTCCATAGCATAGAAGATATAATAGTAAAGATGGCATACACATCGAAAAACATCCCTCCACAGTCGTTCGATGCGCTGGTTGTGAGTTGAAGGTCCAGCAATGAAGCTTCCTCTTCCTTCTCCCCTAGCTTGTATCATGGCATCGCATACTAGCACATTTTCAACACCCTTGTCAACCCTGATGCGTGAGGGCCATAAGTTCCCATCCATTTTTACGGCATCCAAAAACAGTTCAAGAACAGTTTCTGCAAGATTGTTTGCACTACATCTTAAAAACATTATTCGTCTGGAATAACCATCTATGCAACCGTGAATAACCATCTTCCATCTAATCAAAGAATGATGGCCATCCAGGTGCCATAGGGAATTTGGCCAAGAAACTTGATATTGCCTGCGAGAAATAACAATACCCCAACGGAATGCAGTGTTGTGTGGGTCAACTCTTGCCATACTTTCTCTTATTCTTTTTCTTTGAATTCTTAAGCCAACTGACTTCAGGTAACCTTCGACATAACACTGTCCAGTTGTGCAGCCATGATTTAAAATAAATTCTTTGACTTTTTCATCAAGTTCTTCGTCAGGCAAGTGATGAAATCCAGTCATATTTTCCAAACCATACTCTGCTACCCGTCTATGAATTGTCCACCTAGACACCCCCAAAATTTCTCCTATCTTAGTCCAACTAAATCCAAGTTCTCGAAGCTCTTCAAGCATTTCAGCACGGATAACAAAACGCGGTCTTCCAGGACAACCATTTGCCTCAGTTGCTACCTCAGTTTTGTTCTCATAAACCGTAGTTGGAGATCTTATGGCATTTCGATGGTGTAACAGCGATAGTACATCAGTAAAAACGGTGGCAAGTGTATTCAGATTCATCTTGTCTTGAGTCTCGACATCGGCGCCCTCACTTATTGATCTAATCAAACGAATACTTTGATCAATAACTTCAGCATGGGATTCGGCGACTTCTAGGTCAACATCACTTTGAAAAATAGATTCTACGTTGTCTAAAACGGACTCTAAAAACAATGGCAGGTCATTTTCAACATTAAAGACTTCTTCATCCGCCATTGCCGCCATGTTTGTCAAAACTGGTAAACTGCTCGCCCCAGTCTCCCGAGATTGAATGAATTTAGGATTTATTGAATGGATATTGAAATTAAATTGAATGCATATACAAACATTAAATTGAATATGTTAAAGTTTAAAATTGAATAAATATTTATTAAATTGAATGAATATTTTAATATTAAATTGAATAAATATAAAAAAATATTAAATTGAATGAAAATATGAAAATATGACAATTAAATTGAATGAATATTTTAATATTAAATTGAATGAATATTTTAATATTAAATTGAATGAATATTTTAATATTAAATTGAATGAAAATATGACAATTAAATTGAATGAATATTTTAATATTAAATTGAATGAAAATATGACAATTAAATTGAATGAATATTTTAATATTAAATTGAATAAATATAAAAAATATTAAATTGAATGAAAATATGACAATTAAATTGAATGAATATTGCGATTAAATTGAACAAATATATTACATTGAATATTGCAACAATCGGCGTGCCATATCCCGTGTACCGAGATCTCGCTTGTTGACAGGCGAGATCTCGGTGACCGGGATAATGTTTTTCCCATATGAACACAACAGTTCCCGCTTAGCGGGATAACTTTCTGTCGTGTCAGCAACTTTTCAATAGTGGATAACGTTTCTGCATATGAACAGAACAAAAGTATTTGGCTAGTCGAAAAGTTTTCTCGTTAACCGGGATAACTTTTGGCCATATGAACACCGGCAGGTACAAAACGCTGGTTGCAGGTTGCAGGTTGGAATTTCGCAGGTTGGCAATTTTGCAGGTTGGAATTTTGCAGGTTGCCAGGAATTTTGCAGGTTGATGATGCAAACTTAAAATTACACCACTAAAAGTATTCTAGTATAATTTAATTGTGTACTTATTGCAGTCTGACTCCTTGTCGGCGCTTTTGATATCAGCCTATCCTGCTACAATGTTCCTAACTTTTGCTCTAAGGAGTGGCCATCACCCTTGTGAAAACATTCAAAATGACCAGATTGGCTTGGACCTTCAGGGGGACGGATGTTTCGATTGTTGCGAGGAGCCTATATGACGTGGTGGTAGTTCAGAAAATGCCTGAATGAGGTGTCTCTCCTCTGCACCCACTTATGAGAAGTCCACTCAAGCCCCCATTACCGTATCATTACTCGAGAGTTAGTTAACGTTGAACAACATTCTAGTATAAACGCCGCCACGTCATGTAGGCATCTCGCAACAATCAAAACATTCGTCTCCATGTAGGTCCAAGCCAATCTGGTCATTTTGAATGTTTTTACGGGGGTGATGGCCACTAGCCTTAGAGCAGAGGCTAGGAACATGGCAGCAGGGTAGGCTGATATCAAAAGTGTCGACAAGGAGTCAGACTGCAATAAATGCACAACTAATGACACAATTTTTCTAATATAAATATCTCGGCGAGTATTTACCCCCCTTATAAATAAATACCACCATTGTAATCCTCACAAAATAACCTTTCAAACGGGGGGTCAAGTGCCGTCTGAACATTACACAAACCGAAACAATCATATATTTACTCACCGCTTGGCCAAAGATTCTAAATTTCATATACACAAGATCTTGAATATCTCTTGAACATTTCGTCATTTGCTGAACGGCTATATGTGTAAAATACTCTTTGTATTCAAGCGCTTTTGTGTAGAAAGTTTCGTATGTATACGCCGACTAGAAATATTTATTTTGAATTTTTCAAGATATCGGGTTTTACTCGCACTTGCGAACATTGCGCAATAATTGGCCAATAAGAAGCTCCTGTTGGCCTGTATGACGTCAAACTCACGCGTGTAGGTGCAATTTGACCTTGCGAATCCATTGCTGGCCTTTGCAGGGTCATACAATACAAGCTTCGCATTGTTTTGACGATTTTCAGTCGTATTTCCGGTTGGGATTAACTCACTTCGAGCTCACAGTCGGGCAAGAAATAGAAATATATTGATAAAAGATACAGATTTGAAGATACAGACTTGCAAATAACACTCTAAGTAGTGTTTTTAATGGGGATTTTAACAAGACTATTACAAAGACGATATGTTCGAAGGGGCCGAAGTTATTTTCGGCAAAAGGTATGGCTAGTCTATATTTTTGTTCAGACAGTTGCGTAATTTGATACAATATGATCGTGTTTGACTTCAAAGGCCCATAAATCGCTACAATGTTGATAATGACTATAACTATAGGGAGGAATTAGTTGAATCTTTTCTTTCTGAATCGAATGGTGGTATTTCTGTCTTCATAGCATGCACTGAACCGAAGATATTAAATATCTTGCAATCGATCACTGCTGATCGACGCAACTGGGACGTGGTGGAAAAGAGATAAAATTATACTAGAATACTAAAAAAGTGGTGTAATTTTAAATTTGCATTATCAACCTGCAAAGTTCCTGGCAACCTGCAAAATTCCAACCTGCAAAATTCCCAACCTGCAAAATTCCAACCTGCAACCTGCAACCTGCGTTTTGTACCTGCCGGCAAGGCGAGGGTTTCTGCATGCATGTATTTTCTAGTTTAATATAAATAGTATTGATTTCATAAGGATTGTCATTGTTTTCTTTAAATATAATAATTTTATTTCACTTACCCCCCACGAAGATACGATTTCATCCATATTTTGCCGTCTTGTTTTCTTTTTATCGCCGAATTTGGCAAGTATCATCCAGTTATTGTACTTTTACATAATCATAAATGGCTGAAGAATATTTCAAGGAAGGTTTCATCAAGTTTTGAAACAGTGCAGTGCATTTTATCTTCGATATTTCGTCAAATTGCCGCCATTTTAATGGCTTGCCGCTTCTCTGCCCGATAAATACCACTTCATATGTATTTTCATACGTACAGAATCTGTACTAAAACCACTAATTCTGTTTTGTGATTGGCGCGGTTTAATCAAAGAATCTCCCCGTTGAACCAGAGCCTTTTCAATTTATTATTTCCTGTCGAAGGCTCTGGAATCCAGGGTACTGATTGGCCGATTAGACAAACGATTTTTTAAATCTGTCATTTGATTGGCTGGTGCTAATTAGATTATACTATTGGTGTTGATATATTTTATAACGATCACAACTACAATTATAGCCGGCCCTCTAAACGGCTGAATTTAAATTAAAACTGCAGTAAAATTAGAAAATAATCGCAAATTAGCGAAATATATTGCAAATGTAGCTTATATTAAATCGCCATCAGATTGCACTATCGACTAACTGACGTATAGTTATAAGTATACTTAATATATATATATATATATATATATATATATATATATATATATATATATATATATATATATATATATATATATATATATATATATATATATATATATATATATATATACTTCATAATTATATGTCAGTTTGTTGATAAATACGGTATGTAAAGCTCATTTTGACTGAAACCTCTGCGGAGGAGAGAGCAATCGGGTGGCGATTTAATATAAGCTACATTTGCAATATATTTCGCTAATTTGTGATTATTTTTGTTAATTTTATAAGCTCATTGCAGTTTTAATTTTAATTCAGCCGTTTAGTGGGCTGCCTATGCTATAATTAGATTGTTGTTGTCGTTGTGTGAAATTTAAATTTCTTCTGCTACATTTTGATTGGATACTAAATATAAACTGCTGTGGGTGGAAAGCGATCAGGTTAAGTTTTGTGTCAGGCTCTATTTGTAAAATAGAGCCTGGTACTCAGGTTACCATTGCTACGGCCCTGAGAAGTAATAAACGTTAACCGATGATTTGTTAAATGCTATCCATGTAAATGCCATGATTTCGTAAATCAGTTTATACTGACAATACAATTATACTATATTTTCTCTGTTTAACGACTAAAATTTTGTTATACTATTATTGCCGTAATTTTCCGAATGGCCAACCTGATTTTCCGAATATGTTAATTCTAAAAAAATTGGGGGGGGGGGGGTTACCCCCCCCCTCAATACCGCCCTCGCTACGGCCCTACGGCAATTTGACGAAATATCGAAGGACACAATATCGAAGATAAAATACACTACACTATTTCAAAACTTGATGAAACTAGGCCTTCTTTGAAATCTTTTTCAGTCATTTATGATTATGTAAAAGTACAACAATTACTGGATGATATTTGCCGGATTCGGCGATAAAAAGCAAACAAGACGGCAAAATATGGCTGAAATCGTGTTTTCGTGGGGGGTAAGTGAAATAAAATGTATTATATTTAATGAAAATAATGACAATCCTTATGAAATCCACAATAATTATATTAAATTGAGCGTAGTTTTTCACCCCATAATAATTTTTTTAGGAAATAAGAAAATTTAATTTCTGCCAGGCAATATTAGTTATTTTGTGCATAATTAGTAATTTACCTTGGGTGATGCATGGTTATTTTCTTGTAAAATATTATACTTAGACAAATTTTTCATTCCAATGACCACCCCTAAAAGCAACCATTCTAAACACTATAAGCACTTTAGAAAGACTATCGCTTTTTGTTTTCGGAAGTTAGAGCTATGTCGGGCGGGATCATTTTCAGGACTTTCGTCCCGGATTCAGGTTTTGGCACATATGCCATGTTGACCGCCATGGTCATTTTACCCTAAAACAGTTGAGATTACCTGTGCTAAATAAAATGCATACATGTCCTAGACTATTTGCCGTAAACGTCAATCTAAAGGTCTCTAATAAATCTTCATCCCCACAAATCAACATGTATCAAATTGGAGAGAAAGGGAAACATATTCACATGATTTCAAAACTGCTCATATTTTCTGAATCAATGGACTCTAATATTTCAAGAGATATGGTTTTGCGAACAGGATTAGCAAACATGGCACCTATATTCAGACTATTACAGACTGTATTAGACACTTGTGCCGTTTATTGTATTAACCCGTATTTTTATATCAAAAATACTTTCATTATTAGTGAATTAAGAAATTTTTCGGAAGAATCTTTTAGAGCTACTCTCGTTTTGAGATTTAC